CCCTTGTCTACGGATTGGCTTTTGATCGAAGGTTTATTTGCCAGATTGTCGACCTTCCCTGATTCTCAAAAGCTGAAAAATGGTGCTACTTATATGTCACTGCTCTATCCAATGGTCGGTGATTACGCCGCTTACATAAATTTCGCAAATGTCAATACCATCTTTGTTTCAAAAAATAAATGATTACTGTAATACCTTTTTCGTGTGGACCACTGGTAGATAGTGAGAGAAACGACGACGAACAAAAAAGCATTATTCAATTCCCGACTTGACACTACTTCTTCCTGTGACTTGCCGATGCGTGCATTTTCGATCTTGGTCGGACTTACAGCCATACTTGTGAAGAATTATGCTGTGGATTCTACGACTGCCGTCATCAACACAAAACGAACGACTTTCTTGTTGAGGTCAAACCCTCTGGAGGACGCTCAACTAATAAAAAGAATCATGTTCTTTCCCCTTGGGTTTTGGGATACTCGAAAGGCGAAATTGACGAAATTAAAGCCGCTGGCGAACGAAGTGATTAAACAAGTACACAAAATGGATTTTGCTACTGAAACTCTCCGTTATAACTGTTTCCATGGTTTACGAGACTCTGATATAATTATTGACCAGCTTATTCATGATTCTTCCCATAATTGGGCTGAAATACTTCATTGGGGAAGGGAGCATTTTCAAGAAGGATATAATATCCAGGCGCCGACTGAAGGTTCATCCCTGGCTGAATATTTCGCTATTCGTATGAGAAAAAAGAAAATCGATTTCAAAAAAAATCACGTGTCGCTGGTGTGAAGACTTGAATAGCAAGATGTTTACGCATTTGCCGCGTTCAATTTTCTTCATTTTTTTTTCGTAAAATTGTTGCATTAATAAAAAAATTCATATGAGTTGTTTATTTACGTAAATAAGTCGCGCAGGTTACAGAAACGCCCCTGTTGAGTACTTAAATTTTAGTCGTTGCTTTAGCTCGTTATTACAGTCAATAAGGCTTTCTTGTTAACAGGGTAAAATATTTTTTTATTATTTTTAACTTTGTTATTATTAAAAATACGTAATGTTTATAACTTTTTAATTTTGAAAAACAAGAAAAATACAACGACGTTACATTAAACTTTGGAACAAATGCTGTTTCTATCTTCCGAGGTTAAGAAACGCACAGAGATTGAACTTGAACGTTTTTTCAGCAGCCAAAACCGAAACCTCTACCGTCAGCTAGTTCAAAAGTACATGTATGTGAAATGAAGGCATTGAGACTATTAAAAATATGCATTTCTTACTTATTCTTCTTTAAAGTGCGCTAGCAGTCCACGTGTACGCTGGGCCTCTCTCCTTTTTGGAGCTCTATCATCTTCATGGTTACCAATACTTATTCCCTCATTTAATTACGATGCTAAATTGATATACAGCACGCTTATTTACTATCCCGCCAAAAAATCATTCATGGATTCGTTAATCAAATTATAATAAATTATTGTATAGTAAAATTACATTCGGGTTGAGGATAGCTGCAGAAACAAAAGGCGAAGGTACATGCGTGAGAGAAGGCTAATGAAACAAGTTTCGCTCAGTAATGTTGAAATTATCCTTTCTCCACAGGCTAGCTTTGACGCAGTACATGCCCGTTTTTCATATATACATTGATATACAACACCAGTTATGGATCTGTCATTCATCCATGTTATGGGTCATCCATCTGCAAATGACCTGGATTTTTCAGCTTCGACACTCTGGATGCGTTTTCGGCTTCAATCCTGGAAACGGATTTTACAGAAAAATAGGCTATCATCACTGCTATCAAGGATTATTACCGTGCTCAAAATGTCATCGACGTATTGGACAAACACAGTGACAAACAATCATCTTCAAGAGCTATTATGACGGGCAATATCGCGATCCTGAACGTGTTATAGTGCTGGGGATATTTGAACGAGCCTCTTTTAAGACAGCCACTAGACACTTTGCAGCAAGCGCTGTCCGCAATGTCCAATCTTGTGGTTCGTGCGAAGTGTTGGGCGTATGGTAAGCGTTTAGCGGGCTTGAACTGCTTTATCAGCAGTGAACACTTCAAGATCAAGCTAAAAAAGGCGTTTGAACCACCACAGAATGCGTTTTGTGACCATCCCGAGTTCTTGAAGATTCTTCAAGGTCGTTACGACCAACACAGTAGGTACAGCGTGCTTGATGCTTGGCATCGAGTATTGTCGACAAGCCAATTGACGATCTAACGCAAGTTGTAACGTTCATGGCAGGTTTGAGCGATGGGCCAATTCAGAATCAACTTTCTCGTTAGTATCCCAAGATGCTGGACGAAGCCATCAACCGTGCGACGCAAGAAAAGTTCAGCACCAAGTAATCCAAGTTCAACGGCTTCGTCACCACCACAAACGCGTCGGTCAACTGCTTCAAGCGATTGTCCAGATCTAATGGTCATCTCGCACATGGATATTAGCGCTCTCGCAACGATGAAAGGTGGGGCACGCCGAATCATATTGCTCAGAACCGCAGAGTGTCCTTGTCGAGTAGGCAACAGACACAGGCTCCTCATCCGGATAACCGCGGATGTTATAAAGGTCGTCTGTCTGAACCAAACGCTCGCAATGGTCAGCAACGAAAACGACCGGTAGGGGCGGAACTTCCTACTAAGAACAAATGGAGTACTGTGGATAATGTGAATACACAAAACGCCTGTTACGACGTGCGTGATGCAAATTCATTTTCCACTAAAAAATGGTGCCAGGCAAAGTGTACCTTTCACTGTCCAAAGAGTCTTTGTAGATGCTTTTGAGGGGCCACTAGGAGTTTTGATTGACACTGGTGCGTCGAACAACTTTGTTGGAGCGCAATTTATGACTGATCATGGGGTTAGCCTGCCCAAGGTGCAAAAAGAAGTGATCATTCTTAAAGTGATAAAAACTAAGATGAAGATGTCAAAGCAAGTCATTCGCTTGACAATTTTAAACAAGATCAGCCTAGCATTGGCTGATTGAATATAAGATCGAGGTAAAGAAGTCAAGCATCGCTAGATCTAGCTGCATGATGACGGACGAAATGATATTGATGTATGCATCTCATAAAGAAGTCTTCGAGCTGTGTAATTGCGCGTGTATTTGTGCAAATAAATCGCCAAGCCTAACACTTATCAGCTGTTTCACATTGTTTGGCACAGACCAATCTTTGATAGATTAGTATTTCCACTGAGTTACACAAACAACGTTTTTTCCTATAAGACAAAACGGGTTTCTCAGGTGCATATTTCAGATTAGCGTTGACTTTATTCTTTCGCATAACTAAGAACAACTGACGAAGATGATCAAGATGAACATCGACACCAGACTACTCATCTGTTTTCTTACTATGAACATCAAAGTGACTCGGTGAAAATTCTCTCAATGATCGAAAAAGATTTGTGACCATTCTGTCAAAAGCTGCGAGATCGTTCGTCAAAATTGGTGGTATCACGAGCCAATTCCACAGCATACCACTGGGGGCAATTGAGTGGTGTATCATATTCGCGCATTTGTACCTGTGATGAACTATTTCTGAGATTGATTGCGCTGAAAGCGGTACTGCCAGCCATTTCATCAAGGATTTTTTGCATGCGTGGGACTGAAGTTTCAGCATCGTTTAGGTTGTTAAAAGCGTGAACAATGCGCTAGCCTTATGTGCCTTTCATCATACAGAAGGCTCGACTACAGTGCGGAGACTTGCTCTCAAGCACATAATCAGCCTTCTGTCGCTGTGCAAAGATCTCGTCGAAGGCAATGACTTTTTTTTGGTAATCACCACTGCCGATTCATCCATCACTTTGTACCAGGAAGTTTTCAATCACATGACTAATACCGCTGTCAGATGGCAATTGTCCGGCACCTTGTCTGAGAATATATCAACAAATTCTTTGACAAGTTCACACACCGATTTTGTCCTCAGCGTGTCTCGCACCTGCTCATAAAATCTTTTCTTCCGTACCCTCTCATCAAAAACTTCAGTTGCATTGATGACATCGTCGATAGCTTCTTCGACGATCGCACATATTTGCAAAATGCCGCCTTTTGCCAGGCTATGCTTCCGTCTTCTATCTTATCAACGGTAAGAGAAATAATTATTTGAATCAACTTGAAGGAATTTTTAATCTTCAACTGATGGATAACATCGACACCACCTTCTTCGTTGTAGGCCATAATATTATAAAACTCACTCAAAGTGTCTTAACTTGAATTTGTCCTTCATTAATACAACTTGTACCTTGATCAGGGGTACGCAAAACACTCGACGGAAAACTCTCTTGGTGGCCTTCTTTTTCTTCTATTAGGACGAAGCTTTGCTTACTATTCTTCATACTACCATCGCCCACGACTCCCATGTTGATGCCAAAGGAGACAGTTTGTCTGAGTGCTCCACCTCCAGTTGGTGTCGTTACTTTCGTCTTCCCGGACTTGTCCTGCAAACATGAGGGCCATCACACACCCTGATATCTCTTGGGGCATTGGAAACTTCTTTAAAAGATGATTCTTGTGTTTGTCATCATACAGCTAGAGTTAGCGCTGCACGACTTGTTAACGACGATCTTCACTTTCATTCAGTTAGCGCTAGGCTGATCATGCTTTAACCATGGCATACGTAGGATGTTATCAAGCTTATTATCGAGGTCGAAAGGGATAAACTCGTCTTCATCTAGAAAATCCTCACATTTCGTTGCTAAGGGACTGACGTCCTATGACATTCTCATCGTAGATCTAATCGCTAAACAAATGGTCATTTCAGTTTTAACCTTGGGGCAGGCTAACACCTTGACCAGTCACAACTTGCGCTCGAACAAAGTTTATCGACGCGCCAGTGTCACTTATAGCTTGTAAGGTTTCTCAAAACCATCTACAAAGAATCAACGTCGCACTTTGCCTGACACTACTTTAACTTATAGTGGAAACTGCATCTGCATCATGCACATTGTGACCAGAGTTCTGTGTATCCACAGCATCCACAAAACTGTTCTCACCGCTCCGCGCAAGTGCTTTGGAGTACATCCTCCGTGCAGCAGGGCTA